AGCAATTAGTCTAATAATCAAAGCTTCATTCAATCATAAACACAAAGTAAAAGTTTTTACACCCAAGTCAGAAACTAAATACAGAATAGTAACACAATGGAATGCTAAACATGGTCACGTTAACAGCCCATATGATTACCGACACGTATCCGCTCTCCAACCCTTCCGATCTCCACTCCCGTTAGCTTAACGGCCTTCCGGCCACCTCCTAGACCCTCAAAACGGCAACTATGAAGTTTTCTTGTTGCACAAGTCGAAGTGGAATATCATATATTATTCAAATGGTGGAATTATATGGGGTATTTATAGTTGATGGAGATGGATTTATATGGAATATTAGAGTTGGATTGGAATAAGAAAAACTAATGTGGCTTAGGGATTAAGCAAATAATGATAAGGAAAGTGGTGCTTGGGGAATAAGTAACTTGGAGGGAATTTCCGTCCAGCTTTTATGCTTCATCTTCAAGTCCGATTTTGGATAAGATAAGTGTCGAATTAGCCAAAAGTCCCTCTCACATAAGTCGTAGGAAATTTCTTCTAGTTTTCAGAACATTTTGAATCTCGTCAATTGGACTTGTGAGTCATCAGATATACCGGGAAACACTGAAGAGGGGTCAATCTGCCAGCAATATCCTTTTTGCATCTTTTCAGTTCCATTCTCTTTCTTTTGCATTCCATCTCCCATTTTAACTGTAATTAAATATTTCAAAGCATATTAAGTTTATTTTAGTTCTAAATAATAATAATAAGTGTTAAAATATTAAGATATGTTATACAAAAATATATATAAAAATACACATATCAAGGATTTTGTGGTTTATTGTGATGCGTCCATTTCGGGGTTGGGTGCAGTTCTGATGCAGAGGGGGCATGTCATTGCCTACGCTTCGAGACAGCTCAAGCCCCACGAGGCAAACTACCCGACGCACGATTTGGAGTTGGGGGTCATGGTCTTCGCCCTCAAGATTTGGCGACATTACCTCTACGGGGTTCGTTGTACCATCTACACGGACCACAAGAGTCTGAGGTATCTCATGGACCAGCCGAATCTGAACATGAGGCAGCGTCGGTGGTTGGATGTGGTGAAGGATTATGATTGCGAGATCCTTTACCACCCGGGGAAGGCCAACGTGGTGACCGATGCGCTTAGCCGCAAGGCGGCGCCGATCAGGGACGTATGCCTGAGGATGACCGTAGTGACTCCCCTATTGGAGCAAATTTGGGAGGCTCAACAGGAGGCTATCAAGGAGGAGCATCGGAAGAGTGAGCGCGTGGTGGGTCAGGTATCCTCTTTTGATTATGATAGCCGGGGTCTATTGACACTGCACCATAGGGTGTGGGTGCCGTATCACGGGGGCGTCCGCCAGATTTTGATGGATGAGGCGCACAAGTCCCGATTCTCTATCCATCCTGGGGCGACGAAGATGTATAGGGATCTTCATCTGAACTATTGGTGGCCCTGCATGAAGCGGTATGTGGCATGGTACGTAGAGCGGTGCTTGACCTGCAGGAAGGTCAAGGCCGAACATCAGAGACCGTATGGTAAGATGCAGCCGTTGGAAATTCCACTGTGGAAATTGGAAGATATCACCATGGACTTTATTACAAAGCTTCCCAGAACCGCGCGTGGAGTGGATTCAATTTGGGTCATCGTGGACCGACTGACCAAGAGTGCTCACTTTATTCCGATTCAGGAGAGCATATCGGCCGAGAAGTTGGCCGATATATATATTAGGGAAATCGAGGCGCGGCACGGGGTGCCGGTATCGGTGATCTCGGATAGGGATGTACGTTTCACTTCCAGATTTTGGAAGAAGTTTCATGACGAGTTGGGCACTCGATTGCATTTTAGCACCGCCTTTCACCCGCAGACAGATGGTCAGAGTGAGCGGACCATCCAGACTTTGGAGGACATGTTGCGGGCATGTGTGTTGGATTTCGGTGGTAGCTGGGATACCTATCTTCCCTTGGCTGAGTTCTCCTACAACAACAGCTATCACGCGAGTATTGACCAACCACCGTTCGAGATGTTGTACGGGCGGAGGTGCAGAACCCCGATATGTTGGGGTGAAGTTGGCCAGAGAGTCATGGGAAGCACCGAGGTGGTGCTAGAGACGACCGAGAGGATCCAGCAGGTTCGGAGCAGACTTCAGACTGCTCAGAGTCGGCAGAAAAGTTACGCCGATAAGCGTCGATCCGACTTGGAGTTCCAAGTCGGGGATATGGTTCTCCTGAAAGTGCCGCCTTGGAAAGGCGTCATTCGATTCAGGAAGCGGGGCAAGTTGGGCCCAAGATTCATCGGGCCGTTCAGGGTTGTAGCCCGGGTGGGCAAGGTGGCGTATAGGCTGGATCTGCCAGCCGAGCTCAGTCAGATCCACAGCACTTTCCATGTTTCGCAGCTGCGAAAGTGCCTAGTGGACGATTCAGCGGTAGTACCGTTGGAGGATATTCAGGTTCATGATAGCTTGAATTACATTGAGCGCCCAGTCGCAATACTCGACAGGAAGTCAAAGGCTTTGAGGAACAAGAGGGTAGAACTAGTGAAGGTGCAATGGCAGCACCGCAAGGATTCGGAATGGACTTGGGAGCCGATGGACGAGATAATGGAGCACTACCCCGAGATGTTTTAGGATCGAGCAGCAGACTTCGAGGACGAAGTCTAAAATAAGTGGGGAGATTTGTAGCACCTGGTTTCCAGTATGTAAATTTTATTTGAATATTTCCCTATTTTAGCCTTGGACTCGGCGAGTCATAGGTCCGACTCGCCGAGTAGGGACGAGACTCAGGACACGTTTAAGTTGGCGACTCGGCGAGTCACCGCTGCTGGATGAAACCCTAAATTTCAAGGGTTTGCACCCTATTTAAACCCTCATTCCGCCCCAAACTCGTCCCCATTCACCCCCAGAACTCCCAACATCATTTCTACCCTTATTTCCTTGAGAGATTGAAGTGTTTTGGAGTGTTCTTGAAGATTTTGAAGAGAAAGAAGAGTAGATCAAGAAGAGGAGAAGGAGACCAGGCATCTTTGTGTCATCTCAACGTTTTCCTTGAGGTATAGCTCGTTCCCCCTCTGTTTTCAAGCTTGTAATCTCTTTTAGCTTCATGGGAGTCCTTCTTGGGCTCTTCCCCAAGCTTGTTTGTGCTTTGTGGGTTGTAATAAGTTGTTAGCCTTTAGATCTAGGCATGATTTAGTCCCTGGAGCTTGGATCTAATGCCTTTATGGGGTCATATTGCATGAAAGCCCTAGATCTATCTCTTTTGGTGCACTTTGAGCCTTAAAATCCATATTGGTGAATATCTACATATAAAGTTGGAAACTTTACGTGTGATTTGTGCCCTAGTAGCCCAGATCTGTGAATGGCATGGACTGGAATTGAGCAAATCGGTGTATTTGATGGATGCATGGCTGCGACTCGGCGAGTCGTATATGTGACTTGACGAGTCTGGTCGCGAGTCACTGAATTGGTCCCTTTATGAAGTATCGAGTTGAGGCGTGAGTCACAGGGGGTGACTCGGTGAGTTGGAAGCTGAACTCACCTATGATAGGACTCGGCGAGTCAATGCCCTGACTCGGCGAGTCCAAGGCAATCTTCATAGATCAAGAACAGACTCGGCGAGTTGTTCATACAACTCGGCGAGTCTTAGCATAAGTGTTCTTCGGATGAAGATGAACTCGACGAGTTGTCGAGATCACCCACCGAGATCAGGAGTTTCCTAGGGTTGGCTGGCTATTATCGGAGATTTATCAAGGATTTCTCGAAGATCGTCGTGCCAATCACCAGGTTGACCCGGAAGGGTGTTGCTTTTTCATGGGATCCAGAGCAGCAGACCTCGTTTGAGACACTTCGCCAGAGATTATGCGAAGCCCCGGTGTTAGCCCTCCTGGAAGGGATGGAGGATTTTGTGGTGTACTGTGACGCATCGATATCGGGGTTGGGCACAGTACTTATGCAGAGGGGGCATGTGATAGCATATGCATCGAGGTAGCTAAAGCCTCATGAGACGAGGTATCCCACCCACGATCTGGAGTTGGGGGCAGTAGTGTTCGCCCTCAAGATTTGGCGTTACTATTTATATCAGGTTCAATGTACCATTTACACAGACCACAAGAGCTTGAAGTATTTGATGGATCAGCCCAATCTGAATATGTGCCACAGGAGATGGTTGGATGTGATAAAGGATTATGATTGTGAGATCCTGTACCACCCGGGCAAGGCTAATGTTGTAGTTGATGCCCTGAGTCGTAGGGCTGAGGGTGCCCCGATTCGAGACATCTGTATGCGATTGACGGTGATGACTCTGGTGTTGGACACCATTCGGGAGGCCCAGGCAGAGGCCGTGAGACCGGAGAACCGTAAGAGAGAGCGGGTGATTGGGCAGGTACCTGAGTTCGTTACCGATAGTCGCGGGCTTATGACCTTTCAGGGTTGGATTTGGGTGTCGTATGCAGGCGGGGCGCGCACCACATTGATGGAGGAGGAGCATAGATCGAGATTCTAGATCCACCCTGGGGCCACTAAGATGTATTTGGATCTGAAGAAATATTATTGGTGGCCCTATATGAAGAGGGATGTAGCATGGTTTGTAGAGAGGTGCTTGACCTGTCGCAGGGTTAAGGCCGAGCACCAGCGTCCGCATGGCAAGTTGCCGCCACTTGAGGTTCCCCAATGGAAGTGGGAACAGATTTCTATGGATTTCATCACCAAATTTCCGAGGACCGCGAGGGGTGTCGATGCAATTTGGGAGATCATCGACCAGTTGACGAAGAACGCTCACTTTCTTGCTATCAGTGAGAGCTCTTCTAC